TTCTCCATCAGAGAAACTCTGCCAACTGATGCCACCTTACCCAGCTGTCCCATTCCCTCTCTCTTGCCTCCTGCAGTACAGCGGTCAAGGAGACAATACTCAAATGAGTGAATGCAGGTGCGCACCCCATCTTAAAACGAAGTCAGGAAGTAAGAGGATAGGCAGTAACGCTGTGCTGGAAGAGCAATAATCATTGCTTGTATTCAGTGTTGCCCCTTTAGCTGGTGTTGTTTGGATAGCATCAAAAGATGTCACTGTACCTCGAAGAAATTGTGAATGAGTAAAATTCAGAGAGAACTCTGTCACAAACTGGAAGGGTACCTACTAACTCTTAACCCAGGAAAAAAGGATTTTTACTTGACCACATAATCAATGTTTAGGAAGAGTCTCTCTAAATCAGTAGTCTTCATAAAAACGTGCTTTTAATATATTAAAAATTGAAGTTTCAGAGAACCTCTCACACTTAGTTTGCTTTGGGTTCTTTACTTTGGTCTGCCGTTAGCTTACTGTTAATCTGGCGAAGACGTTCTGGATTTTCAAACACATCCCTTACATTTGATTTTAACATAGCTCAGTGCCGCTATTCAGAAGGGCTGCAGGGCTTTTGACACTCTGAAGATGAAACATAACTGTCTTCAGTTTCCAACATGTATTTAGCGGATGCTTTTGGGAACTCAGAGCAGCGTCTCCCATCCTGAGCCTCCCCGTCTGGCGATAACAATACTCACCTATCTTTCTAGGAAAGCTACCACGCTTTCAAAGTGTGAGTCACAGCTCACAACCAGGCGTCTGAATGTAAGCTTTGCACAGGGATTATTCCTATTGGAAGGTAATTTTTAGAAGTGAATCTAAACAAGTCCCCTTCCTTTTTAAAGGGAAAGCCTGTCTTTGCTTAAACACTTGCCGAGAGGGCTCTCAACATAGTGTAAGCTCAGGCACTTCACCTCCTTCTTTTTGCGATGAAAAACTTAAACTTGAAAGGGAGAACCTAGGCACGTTTTTATTTTATCTGCATACATCCAGTTCTTGCTGCAGAGCCATTCAGTCTATGTGGCTGGCAACCTCCTGAAGCAGCAAGCAGCTCCAGGGGAGGCCGAGCTATCCGGAGGCCAGCGTGCTATCCAGGAGTGAGCTCGTGAGCTCGCGGCTTCCCAGCGCCAGCTGCCAGCTCTGCTCCCTATGCAAAGGGGATTTTCAAACACATCCCTTACATTTGATTTTAACATAGCTCAGTGCCGCTATTCAGAAGGGCTGCAGGGCTTTTGACACTCTGAAGATGAAACATAACTGTCTTCAGTTTCCAACATGTATTTAGCGGATGCTTTTGGGAACTCAGAGCAGCGTCTCCCATCCTGAGCCTCCCCGTCTGGCGATAACAATACTCACCTATCTTTCTAGGAAAGCTACCACGCTTTCAAAGTGTGAGTCACAGCTCACAACCAGGCGTCTGAATGTAAGCTTTGCACAGGGATTATTCCTATTGGAAGGTAATTTTTAGAAGTGAATCTAAACAAGTCCCCTTCCTTTTTAAAGGGAAAGCCTGTCTTTGCTTAAACACTTGCCGAGAGGGCTCTCAACATAGTGTAAGCTCAGGCACTTCAACCTCCTTCTTTTTGCGATGAAAAACTTAAACTTGAAAGGGAGAACTTAGGCACGTTTTTATTTTATCTGCATACATCCAGTTCTTGCTGCAGAGCCATTCAGTCTATGTGGCTGGCAACCTCCTGAAGCAGCAAGCAGCTCCAGGGGAGGCCGAGCTATCCGGAGGCCAGCGTGCTATCCAGGAGTGAGCTCGTGAGCTCGCGGCTTCCCAGCGCCAGCTGCCAGCTCTGCTCCCTATGCAAAGGGAGTGAGGGAAAATGCATGTGGGAGGAGGGAGGTGCAGGGGGGGACAGATAGGGGACAGGATGTTAATTGCTAACATTTCATTTTTAGATCTGCCAAAATCACGTTACAGGTTTCGGTGCTTACAACTCTACAGTAAAGGGTGGCAGGCTTTGCATTCTGTGAGACTGGGCTTGCATGTTCCAGGCTTGTGTTTGGCGCTAGGGCTGCATGGTAGCTGCAACTGGGAAGGAGTAATGCAGTCTGAGGAGGGACATTTCTATTTCACAATGGACCAGCCAAAATGATCAGCAGCTGCCTCCCCTTTCGGTAGGATACCAAAGTCGTACCTGCTAGACCAGGGCCACCCACCAAAGCCGAGACAAACAGCCAGCAAGGAGTACAAAGATGACTGCTATTTCTTATTTTACTTCTAGCAACCACCACAAGTTTGGTGACCACCCATTTTAACAACCACACCTCCACTCCTCTCTTTCCCACAGGCACATTTGCAGTTACAACCATTTGTTTTTACACCTGGCCTTAACGCAGGCACTGGTCTTGCTAATATTTGAGTTAGCTTTATGTACTTCAGCAGCCCAACCAACTTTAATATAAAACTGCTTTTAACATCAGGGCCTCTGTTACAACCAAAAAAATCAGTGTATCATCTGAATTAAAATGGCTGCAGCTGCAACCAGAGTAGCCATTGGTATCTGAGCTGAGAGGAACCAAGCAATGACTTGTTCTGCTCTTGTGCTTAGCATGTTTTGGGGCTACTGTCCTGGTGACTGTTGGGAAGGCACCGACAGCTTTATTCTATCAGACCTACATCTTGTCCTGTATGTATTAGGGCCTTCAAGGCAGAGAAATTAAAGTGGAAAGCCAAGGAACACAGTTTACCTCAGCTTTGTCCAACCAGGCCATGCTAGTATCACAACAGTAAGCGATGCTGAGGGATATAAATGTTATTATTAGGCACTGCACCACAGCCAGATTCACTCCACTCCTTCTGCACCCCGCTCTGCGCTGCCCAGATGCTGGCTTGGTGCCAAACCTGCCCCAGCCAGGCAGGCTCTGCGTCAGCAGCTCTGCTCCCGGGGCTGCAGGAGCAGCACAGCCTCCGCTCCCGCATCCCCGCCATCCTCCCTCCAGGTCCCGACACTCCTCCACAGCAAAGACACAGGAGCAGAGCAAGGCTTCCACCTGTACGCGGTCAGCATGTACTGGAGGAAAGGGACACCGTGAATGAAAACCCCACGGCAAAAGGGACTGAGAGGAGGATGGGCCCCAACCGCCATTTTAAGCAGCAGCCTTCAGTATGGAGCAAAATCCCCAAGAGGCAACTCCCGTGTGTCCTCCTACTTATCCCCATCATTTGGGATGTGGCAAGGGGCACCACACCTCTTTGTTAGTGCTTACAGACATTTCTCCAAAAGTTTTAATATCATGAGAGCTGGCAGTATTACTTTAGGTATTATGGAAGCTCAAGGTGATGATCACTTGTCACTAGTTCAAAAGCACTCCAACGCGGTAAAGTTAACAGACCCCTGATGAAGCCACGGTTCTCTTCCCAGGTTGATTTTGCCACATACCCCTGCTCAGTGAAGAGCAGTACTGACACGCAGTTAAGTCTCCCAGAGCAGGAGAGGCTACTGCAAAGCCAAAGCATCATCCATCCCACCAGCAGCATTGCAAGCACCTCACGTTTAAACTTCAGTGCATCGGTGCTCCCAGCTCCAGGAGATGTAGGTTAGGTTCCACAAGTTCTCATCTTCCTGGGGAAAGCAGCACCCACTCCAAGCCCACCCAGTCTCAGTGCAAGGCTAAAAGGAGCTGACAGCTCCACCTCTGGGAGGAATTGCTGGAGGAATGTCCCCTCCGACACCACCGGCACCAAATTCCCACCCGCCTCCCTGGCGCGGGAGCCTGCCTCCACAGCTGCAAACCCAAACAGGCTCCAAGAGCCTCCGCTGCCCAGCAGCTGTACTGGCTATTTTCTGCTGACCCAGGGCCTCAGTATTTTCAGCCAGAGAAAAGCCTGCCTGAACTCACCCACACCCAAAAGGGCGAAGGTCTGTCTGCGTATAAACTGAAGTCCGTGACATTTTCCCTGCTATATATAACC